CCACTCATAATAGTTAACCAGTACTCCCGGAACTAAGCCCATTATTTCTAAATAAAAATCAAAAATATTTTAGCTAATGCTAAAATTTGGTTCATTTCCCCAAAACAAAACACTTTGGAAATAATCAAATTATAACCAAAGACTTTCTCAAAACTTGTTTCTTACCACTTTGGGAATAAAAAAATGAAACCCAAAGACTTCCTCTAACCACAAAGGTTTGAAACCAAATCCATCTTAGTTGTCATTTCTCAACAAATCAGAAATACTCTTTAGCCAAAACTAAACTTTGGTTCCTATTACAAAAATCAAAATACTTTAGGAATAGTAAAATTAATTCTAAAGACTTTCTCTAAACCCAAAGGTTTATAGTTTCTTTCCTTCCCCTTTTCCTTTCACTATGGTGAAACTATTACAAATTAGAAATCAAAACCACTACAAATGGAAATGGATATACAACTACAACTGTTACAATTACAAATTGTCTAAATCTACAAAACAGAATTCATGGTTGCATCTGAAATCGTTTGTTTAGCCAAGAACACGCTTCTCCACTTGTAATGCTTATCTTTGTATAAAACACATTACAAAACTCTATTCTCGTTGCCGCTAAATCTTCATGCTCACTGTTCATATACACACCTGGATACAAGATGAGTTAATGAATCAATAAAGTGAATATTACACAAGTAATTTCAACTATAACTTGCAATGTGTAACTCAAAGGCTATAGATGCATTGTAGTTACAAAAATGTCATGAATTGCATGGTTATAAATCAATTATACATAAAGGAATATTATGGTTATAATGTTGGCAATCTAACCATGCAACTGTGAGCAAATATATATAAAAATAGAGTTAAATTTTCACTTACCATTCCATGAATACAAAAAATATTTTAGAATCATTTCCTTGATTACCCGTCAAGACATGAAAGAACTCACAATTGATACAACAAAAATAAATAGAATGAATAAGAATTAATATCATTACAATGCCAAGTTATACCACCATGCGATAATGCAACATAATCATAGCAATCACAAAAATAAGACCATTGTTACTAAATTTTCTCCTAAAACAAACTTGTTTGGAGATACTTTATACTGTTGAAAACCTCTCGACTAGCCGAATCTCTTGAAATTCTCAAAATCTAGCTATTACTTTTACCCATAATTTAATTAATCAAATTAAATCAAAATTATCACCACACTTTCAAAATAACATATGGAATAAATCCAAAATCAAACTGAACTATAAAGTGAATAATTAAATTCACTAAAATTCCGAAGGTCCAATATTCCTTATTCCACGCAAAGATAATCCTGTTCAAATAAACAATTAGTAGTCCAATTTACTAATTTCAATTTATTTTATTTGTTCGTATTATATATCATCATTTCTCGCTTAAGTAAACCTGTAAAGAAAGTTAGCTACCAAAGAAAACAATCAAACAAATTAAATAAAATAGTAAGAATCTTACATAATAAAATTTTTATTTTTATAAACTCCTACCAACTTAAACACTAACAATCAAATAACTCATACAATAACAACTAATAAACATAAAATAAATTGCATGAATAAATTATTATAAATAAGCAACTCAAAACAATCTAATAACTCTAGGCAATTAAATTAATTTTAATTCCAATAGTTACTAGAATAAATTAAAATAAAAGCTAAATCATTTTTTCAAAAATTATTTATAAAAAATCTATTTTAAGATTGTTGATATTTTTTCATAATAATACAAGAAAAATATATAAAAAATTAAATAGAAATGACAAAACAATTTTTTTTTTAAATGATGAAATACATAATAAATGATACAACTAAATACAGAAATAAATTAGATTACATTACTAAAAAATAAATTATTAACATGGATAATTAAAAATTAGAACTCGTCGAGGTAAACCAAATTCTGAAAAATTAAAAAACAAAGAATAAGAAAAAAAGTAAATCGAAGCTTGTGTGATACCACAGTTTCCTTAAAACAGATTCACCACCTCTCGATGGGTATTAGAGGTATGCCGGCATCTGCCTCCCAAGATACGACGGTCGAAACCAGCTATTGCAGAAACACTTTCTGAATAGCTTCGGCGAACTTAACAATGGCTGCACTATCTCTAACAAGAACCAAAGAAGAGGCTAACAAAAGAAGATATAAAAATTTTTCTTTGGTGTAAAAAATCATCTCGAACTTTTTATTTCAAAACACCATCTCATTTTTCATCACAAAACCTCTCTAAAACAACCTACTAAGTTGGAGGAGAAATGCTTCTATTTATACTAGTAGAGAAGAGACTTAGCCATGAAGGATAACATCAATGGGTCATCAAACGTCATCAACTCTAGCCATTAGGGCTAGAGTTACAAAGGTTCAAAACTCCAAAACCATTATACAAATCATAATGTGTATATAATGTATAAGTTTTGAGAATTAAATTATATGGGTTGCAAAATAGATATGGGTATTGGGTCACAACCCGATCCAAGCCCTCAAATACATGCACAAACTAAGCTCAGCCCAAAGCTGAAGACTAGGTCCAAGTCCAAATCTAAGACCAAACCCAGCACATGCACAAGTACAAGTCTAGGTATAGTCCAAACCAAGACTAAGTCCAAATTTAAACCTACTTTATTGATGCCCACTTTATGAGACAATTCTCATTCACAACTCAATAGTTTCGGTTCATTATTTTTGTATTGCAATCTTCTAACTTAAGATAATATAAAACCACTCAGACCTATCTCAACCAGTGGTTGAGTTCTATTTTAATTTCGAATTAAAGGTGTCAAAAACCTATTAATTTTCAACACTCAATAAGGTAAAAATAAATCAACGATTGAAGATCTTTTTCTAAAAAAATAAAATTCAAATAAGGTATGATGAGAAGAGTAATTCCTGTTGGACAATCTTCAATGTATTTAACTAGATTAATTCTGTTTGTATACTTAACAACAAACAGAAACCAAAAGAAATAAAAGAAATGAGAGAAAAATGTTTGATTACAAAAATCAAACTAGAAATAGAATTAAATAAATAAAAACAGATTTTATTTTGTTACCAAAACAAAATTAATATCTGATTTAAATAAATAATAATAAACAGAAAATAAATAAATAACTTACTTGATTAATATCTTGAATATTATTCTGATCAAGTCCAGTGTTTGACACTGTATCTTTAAGACAGATTCGTCCTCTCCACGATACTTTCAGAATGTGGACATCTATCTCCCAGGATGAAATGATCAACAACAAACAATAGCAGCACTACAAATTGTTTGCCTAACGAATACACTAAGTGTTTACACTCTTACAAAAATTAAATGCAGCAAAATGAAGAATAAATTTGCAGAGGAGAAGTACGAATTTTCTGAATCTAAACATCAAATGAGGGTTGTCCTATTTATAGATGGATTGGTGGCTGCAGGTTTTGAATTAAACAAGTGCGAACCTGTTTGAACAGGTACAGTACCTGTTGGGTTTTGAATTAAACAGATTTAAATCTGTTGGGTTCAAAATTCAAACAGATAAAGACGAGAAGGGACTTGTTTGGGTGTACAAAAAAACCGGACCAGTTTATTTTTGGAATTAATTTGAATTCTTGATTTTATTTTTCAAAAAATTAAATTAAATTCAAATATTTTTTACCCCAAAAAATAGGTATTGGGCCGAACAAGCCCAACCCAACCTCACACCACGCACCCGCGCCCAAGCCTAGCCCGTCCGAACGGCGTACACGTGGTGATTTTTGGGTCCAATGGGTCTAGCCCATAACCTCCCTCTCTAAAACACCTGGATACCCCTTGGGACACACCCCAAGTTCCAATCTCATGCCCTATAAACCTATTCAAAACTTCCCACCAAATCAATATGGACAAGCCTTATTCAAACCTTTAAGGATTTTTCACCAAAACTCCATTTTCATGGAACATACTTTAACTTCAATTTTCTATTCACCCGGTAATGGTTTTGAGTAACCAAATATACCACGTGAATCACAATGCGGCACAGAACGCGTTACTACTTTGACCCGCAAAAATCGACGCACAGAACCCACCTAAATATTAGATCAAAGTTAGGGAAAAAATATGTTTTTTATCTAAATTTTCCAAACCATTTTCCAACAATTCCAACATTGTTTTTAAATATTCTCATTATTGTTTAATGATATAAAATGATTTTAAAGATTATATTTTTCTATTATAGGCGTTTTGTTGGATTTAGAACCTCTTCGTATTTCTCACTCATTACTCTACAATCCTACTGGTATCAACATCAAATAATACTACATCATTACACTTAATTTGTCATCTTAAACTATAAAAGTACATTATTAAAATTTAATATTTAAAATATAGGTTAAATGGAACGTATAGGGTCAAGTAGAAGTGGTTCAAGGTGAGAGAGGAACCTAATATAGGATCGTGAGGCCAAGGACAATGTTCACTAAATGTGGTGGGGTGAGAATCAGGATAGGATAGTCTTGATCTCACATTTGCACTGCTTTTCTATTTATTAGTTAATATGCAATTAAAATAAAACTTAAAAAATTATTTTTTACTTGATCCGATTATTAAATGTTGAACCCCATCAAACATTAAACGTAATCGTTAAATAAAATAGTTTATCCCAGCGACAAGGTCCCCGACAATGGTCCCGTTTGGTAAGACTGTAAAAGAATGATTATAACTTATATATTAATAACTTATAACTTATAATTATGAATATAAATTGACTTTTAACTTATAAATTAAGTTTCTCCTCTCTCACTCAAAAAATAAATTTTTAACTTACAAAAAATTATAAATTATATTGTTAAACTGAACCAAATAACATTAAAATAATTTAAAGTAAATTAAAAATTAAAATAAATTAAAAATAAGCCTACCAAATATTCGTGGTGGAAGCAGCACAAATCTTGGCATTGAGAGAACACAAAAATCAAACCGAGAAACCCAACAACAAAGTTGACACAACTACCCTCACCTTCCTTTCCTCCAAAAACTCCAACCTTTTTCTTTTTCAGATCCTCTCTCTCTCTCTCTCTCTCTCTCTCTCTTCTGGGTCTGTATTGGAATGATAAAGGCTCTGCAAAAGTGAACTCATACACACATTTGTGGTGTTGGGTGCTTCTCAATTCTTTCTGTTTCAGCTCCACAAAATAGGTTTCTAATCGAGCTCCGGTCAGACCCTCAATCTTGATCTTTCTTTGGATTTCAATTTTCGTTGTTTGATTCAAAATTTGTGTGTTAATCCATAAACATATGTAGAGTTCTTGTTAAAAGTTTGTGCTAGCTTTAGTTTCCGTTTGGGTGCTGAGAAACATAGAGGGAAAGTGTAAAAGAAAATTGAAAAATAATTTTTATTACCCAGATCGGGTTGGGAAAGGCTTTTCAATTTTTATGTCAACCATGTGATCTGGTCGATTTATTGCATCCATGTGATTATGATTTATTTCAAATTCCATTGGCTTGTCATTTTGGGATCTGTATTCTGAGGTCTTTGACTTGAATTGCATATTGTTTCCAAAAGCATGTCAATTAAATCATTTAGAAAAGAGGCAATCGTATTAAAAATTCATTTTCTTGATTGGGTTTTGCAAATTTAATGTGTGTGCATCTTTTAGGGGAATATCTTGGATTAGAACATACAATAATGGTTCATTTTTTGGAAATAATTTTCATTAGAAACTGATTGGTTGGTTACAAAAGAAGCAAGAAAGAAAACAAGGATAACAACAAATTTGACCTGTTTACTAATCAAGTTTTCAGAATCTGCACCGTGCTATTGTTTTGTGCTGTAATTACTTCAATAAAGTCTTCATTTATTTGGCCAGGCATACCTCGGGTATTATCCTGTGTCCCGGATTATCTCACTAATTGACAATGGGAGGTGTATTGGGCAAGGGTGATTCACCCAAGTGTTGTATTATAGAAACAAAGCTTGAGACCAAAATGGTTGAAGCTATGCAGCGAAGGGCATCTGAAGGAAGTTCCATGAAATCATTTAACAGAATAATCTTGAAATTCCCCAAAATCGACGAGAGCTTAAGAAAGTGCAAAGATATCTTCCAGCAATTTGGTAAGTGCTCAAAACATGGTCCGTTACATGTTTGCTGAAAATGGTATATCTGGGTAGTAAGTGGATTATTCTCAATTTTTTTTTAGGTCAGGAATTATTCTTACCAGAATATGTCATCTAAATTAACAAATGCTTTACTGCTAAAACTGGACCATTGTAGCTTTCTCTCGATCCCTTGATAGATTTTGGGAGATCACTCTTCCAAGATTTAAATTAGATATTCTCTGTCAAGGGATCCCTTGATAGATTTTAAGCAACTTTTTAGATATAGTGTTCTGAATTGCAAACTGTTTACATAATTCCGGGTTTATGCCCCCTCCCTTCCCTTTCTCTCTTTCCCGCCTGTGACATGTGTTCATTGTTTTTCTTCTTTTCACCTGCTAAAAAATAGAGCTTATCTGTTTTCTTCATAGATGAGGATGCCCCTGTGACTAGTTCATTGTTTTTCTTCTTTTCACCTGCTAAAAAGTAGAGCTTATCTGTTTTCTTCATAGATGAGGATGCGAACGGTGCAATAGATCCACAAGAACTGAGGCGTTGTTTCCATAAACTAGAGATTAATTTTACAGAGGAAGAAATAAATGATCTCTTTGAGGCATGCGATATCAATGATCATATGGGAATGAAGTTCAATGAGTTTATTGTGCTTCTCTGCCTCGTGTATCTTCTGAAGGAGGATCCCACTGCCCTTCAAACTGTATCCAAAATACCGTACTTCACTTATACCTTTTATCATTTAATCTGATAGGTTTATCTTTATTTGGAGTCATAATATTTTCCTCTTTGCAAGAGCTTGCTACATGTCTAAAAATCCAAAACTTGCAAGCTTCAAAAATCTTTCTTACTTCACCTCGAAGATAAATAGTTCCAGGAAAAGGGGATGGTTTTGTCACTTAATTGAAAATTTGTCATGGTAGGTCATTTCCCGGAAGTTTCTTTGGCTTGGCTTGTTTGTCGTCTTACATACATCATACATGCCATGATATGTATATAATTTTGTTGCTATGACATATATGCATTAAATAACTGCATTTACTTCTTAGTTTTTTAACTGTTTGGTAGGTCATTGTGGACTATTTATATTGTCAATCATGAATCAAAGAAAACAGAATTTTTTTATAAAATTGAATTTGTTTAAATTATTGCAATGGAACTTTCATATCACCTCTAGGGGTGGGCTGAATGGCGGTTTGAATGAGCAAGTGAGCTACATAAGAGGCACGAAAAAGGGTTTGTGTTAATGCCATGCCTGTGAGAAACTAGTCCAGAATTTGTATTATTACTCTTTCCTTCTGTTGTTATGTTCCATGACATATTCAGAAATCACGGATGGGGATGCCAAACCTAGAGGCCACATTTGAAATGTTGGTTGACGCGTTTGTGTTCTTGGACAAGAACAAGGATGGTTATGTAAGCAAGAGTGAGATGATTCAGGCAATAAATGATACCACTTCGGGAGAACTGTCCTCTGGTCGAATAGCCCTGAAAAGATTTGGTTAGCTCTCTGTCTCTGTCTCTGTCTCTGTCTCTCTCTCTCACACACACACGCGCACACATAGAGTTGTGCTTTGTGTATGTAAAATGGCAATGGCATGTGAAAAAAAAAACAGCACTTTCAGTAATACATAAAGGCAACTCTTTGTTCTTTATCTGTTATTTTTTCTTTATACATTGTACATACATTATTTATTTCTCAACTCACTTGGTCTCTTGTTTTATTGTTGCAGAGGAGATGGACTGGGATAAAAATGGAATGGTGAACTTCAAGGAATTTCTTTTTGCTTTCACTCGTTGGGTTGGAATCGATGACAATGAGGATGATGAACAAGAAGACAATGCCTGAATCCCAAATTTCAAGCATCTTATTCCATGGTTCCCCCCTATGTTTGTAATGTAAATAAACCTGTTGCATTTGTTTTCAGTGTCATAAAGAACTACTTGATGTTTGAAAAATATTTTGTGCTCAATTGAATGCTATTATGCTCCTTGCTGTTAAATCATTAAGGATGGGTAGAGGGAATTAGAGGAGTAATGGCTAAAAAACCCACATTTCCTCCAGCTACAGTATGGCACCATCGGAGGGAAGGAAGGCTAGCCGGGGATCATTACTTGTAATCTAGGCTTGGATTTGCTCTTAGGAATAGTATCTGAAAGCATGGTTCTGGCCCCCCCTTCCCTTCCGTCCGAGCTTGTCCATTCATTGGGTGATACCTTGCTTTCTCACATTCAAGTGTTTGCTCATCGTTTAGTTTAGGCATGCAAGTGAGATTTCTGCTTATTGCAGTCACCTCTGAGGTTCTTCACTCTGGCCAAGCCTTTAGGAGACGTGAGTTTGGATGGATTAGATAAGAAAGGATTGTAATGCGATGAATTGTTAATATTGAGATAAGTAGTCTATGAACTATTTAGCTAAAAATGATCTTTGTTTAACTATTAGGGTGAGCTTCACTTTTCTAACCAATGGTAGACTAGTTGGACATAGAGTTTAATCCCATATCTTATCCAATGAAAGAAATGCCCCCTTAGATTGTTGAAGAGATAGGGCGGTAGTAAGATTTCTACTCATTGCAGTCACCTCATGGTTAATCACACCCAGCCCAAGCCTTTATGTTGTTTGAGCATGTTTGGTATAATTTTTCTCAAATTAAAAATTAAAAACTAGTAAAAACTGAGCACACTCATTTCTCAAATTTCAAATAGTTAGCATAATTATCACTATTTTTGTAAAATTTTATTTCAATTATTTCTATAAGCAAAAGTTACACTACACATTCTGACAGATTCAGCCACCTGACAACGTTCCCATGTTTATATCCTGCCAACAACCCATAAACAAGAAAAGTGCCAAGCTCTAATGTCATCACAAGCATAATTCTGAGGAAAATAATAACAATAATGCTTTCAAAGTATCTAAATAACAAACTACACTTGAAAATAGTACAAAACACTCCAACCCAGAGACATGTACTACTGGGTTAGTAGATCACTACTTTGCCTCACTCATGTACACAAATGATAATAATGTCTTAGTTCTCACAGGACTCTCCACCGATACCAAAACTGTCATCCCAAGCTTACAATAAAATCCAAAACAATACGAAAAGACAGCATTGGCGGGACAATGTTCTAACCAAACTGCCCTAAAAACAACACAAACACAAGCACACCCTTAGACTCGGATTGTCCCTTTACCTTGGTATACTGTCACTAAGCCTCCCTCCAGACACACGATACACATGCTTCATAATATCATATATATATATAGAAACTAAGTTAGAACTGGCACGTAACACGGTGCCAGTGCCCCGATGGCAGTTGGAGGCATTGGCAGGCCCAGCAACAAGTATAGCATGGGACATGTTGTTTTAATGGCAGAGACTAACACACAAGCTCCAAAAGCTCACTAATAAAGTGATCAACCATCAGCCCCTAGTCTTGGCCCTCTTCATACCAAGGCTGTTGTTGTGGAAGGGGGATACAGAACCAGACATTTGAGAACCTTCATCACGAAGTGTACCATTGATCATTGCGAGCTCTCGTAGCTGCTGCTTTTTGTAGAAATCCTGAGTTTCATCCTGCATAAAAGAAACGATGAAGACGAAGATTCTAGTATTTCCTAGGAAACATAGGCAATAGCTGTAACCGAGAAAATATCATATTGCAATACAAAATAATTTGGGTCATTGGGGAAGGCAAAAGGAAAAAGTTACCATGGGCTTGAGCAGATCTTCCAGTATTTCACGTGCTTGCATTAAACGTGCATCAACTATCTCAACTGGCAATTCAGCCTCAACAAGTATGTGGAGTGGTTCGTTCAAGTGCTCATAACCCGGTTTCCCCCTCATGATCTCTTCCTTCAAGTCACAATTAGCAAACAAATAATGTTCATATTTTCAGAAAAAGGAAAACGAGAGGTTGCTCAGGCAGAAGCTCAGAAAAACAAGTAAAACTTACTTGATATAGAACAAAATGCTATTCATATTATTAATAAAATGGGTTCTCAATTGATTTAAACATTGTATGCACAACAGCATGAGCATCGTTGAATTGAAAATGAAAGAAAGCTAATGTAAATCAAGCAGCATGAGCATGGCTGATGCCACACCTCTAGTTCTACTAACTTATTCATTTATTTGTCTTCAATAATCAAATGATTTTTTTCTTATTCGGCAGTTCTTTCTCTTGAAAACAGATGTGGAAGGTCATTGATCTCTTCATTATGTACAGCACACCATTATAATGGTTTCAGAATTTCAACCATTCAGATTGCCTTTCATGTATGGAAGTGTCAAGCCATCAAAATTTTAGAAAGCATCCACAAAACAAAACAAAACCAGAAAGGTTGAAAAGATTATCAAAATTATTACCTTAGTAGGATCTTTGATGCTACCACATCCTCTGATTAGAACACGACAATCGGTACTTGCCTCAACTCTCTTGAGGGAGTTCCCTCTAGGACCAAGGAGGCGGCCAACAAAATTGTACTGCAACAGGAAATTCAATATCAAATGGAGAAAAACAACAGCATGAAAAAAGTGTAATAGAATGAGTAAATACTTCATATATTGAGATTTTCATCAACTGTAATATCTAATATCAAATGCAGAAAACTACAGTGTGAAAAGGTGCAATAGAAAGTAAATACTTCATACACTGGGAAATTGATCAACTGGAATATCCACCCTGATTGTTCTCTTCACTATAAGACCAGATGAGCTACCTTGCGAACCAAGCCAGCTTTGTGCAGATGAGGGCGGCAACAAACCTGACATCTGCATTTTAAAATTCCAGAAAATGTTAAAAATATGATGACAGACAGAGACAGCTGCAATACTGTTTTCTAAAGCAAGACCTCCCAAATTCCATAAATTTTCCAAGATGTACCTTGGAGCTGCTTAAAAAAAAAAATTAAAAAAAAATAAAAGAAGAAGAAGAAGATAACCCACAGAAATAAAGAGGTGCACCTCAACATATATACCGGTAGAACACCAAAAAGATATGTTGACATTTGAGCACAATTATATATGAGCATGAAGTTAACGGTTCCAATATATTTGAAACCAGAGAACTGAAACCAAAATGTACAATTCAACATGCAAAAATAAGCAGGAGTCATTTTTTTTCCCACCATGAAAGCATATTTGCCACTGTATCCACAACCCCCCCAAAAAATTGCTTCTTAGAACCAAAATACTATAAATTGTTTCTCTGCCAACAAGTCTCCTATCATGACATCAACTAATTAGCACTCTTTTAGTTGATGAGTTAGCACTACTACACAAACAACAGGCCTCCAACTGCCTCAGCCGTGCAAGTCCTCACTCAATACCTCAATTTAGGTCATTCACTCTAGTAAATGAATGTTTCATGTCCAAGACAATGGAAATTATTTAGCTATAGACTAGGACACTTAATTAAATCAGTGTTGCTTCAAACTAACAGTCGTGGCAGAAGCAAAATTTGAGAATGGAAGCACTCAACAGAATAATGAAGTTAGCATGAAATTTAAAATAAATATAATAATAAAATAAATTAGAAAGGTGTCAGGAATGCTTCTGAAAAACAGTAAAATTAGATGGAACAAAAGGTTATGTTAATGGTTAGTATCCGTACTTCTGATTGAAACGGTGATGGCCGTCTGTTCACATTGGCTCCTCCATTAGAAAATATTCCTCCTGAAGCTAGGGGGCTAGCATGTTCAAACCCACTTTGATCTAAAACTGATGCATTCCCCAACAGTGTGGTTACACGCAATATTTCTGCTCCAAAATGTCAATTTTCAAGAATAAGATGCACCAGTTAGCATTTGTTAAGAAATTAGTTAGCAGTCACCACAAAATGGACAGACAACATGGATTGTTTACTGGGTTAGTCATAATCAAATGCTTCCCCTATGTAACAACCTCAATCTTTCAGAAGAATGTAAGCAGGAAAAAGGACATGTAGTTCTGTGTCCTATTATACCTGAATGGTTAATACACACGTCTACAAAAGAAGATTGTAGATTTATTGTTTGCATAAACCATTGACAAACTTAACATGCTTATTAATGTCGTATAGAGAAAGGGTATACAAGGAAATACACCTCCAAAGAAACAGATACTGATTTTAAAAACACGCATAACCTCAAGCATCTTGCCACCAAAGTTTGACAACACAAATACGACATTATTTATGAAAGATAAAAAATCAATTAGGAGATAGAGTACCAAAAGTTATCCTCCACAAAGGTGGAGACAAGGAAAAAGAACCCCCCAAAAAAATGAAAAGAAGAATTAAGTTTTTTTTTTTTTTGATAAATAAAGTAAGTTTTTTTTTTTCTTGATAAATAAAGTATTTAATGACACAAAGAAATTCCAATTCAAATTATGCTCCTTCAGTAGAGCTACCTCTTTTTTAGCTTCAAAAATAGCATTCGGAACTACAAAACTTGGAAGCCAACAAATCTACGGCCCCAAGATCCTGGAATGTGAAAATTTTTCTCAGCAAGAAAGTAATTCCCAAGGGACCAGCAGAAACACCTCAAGCCAGCTTTATAATATTGTGGGAAAATCCTATACAAGAGGCTCATCTTTTCAGCTCCACAAATGATAGCCTCAAATGTTAGCTATCATAACCATCCCACCCAAAAAGGCTTGAACTATGTAAGCTTGATCCTCCCTTTTCAATTTCTAAGATAGCCCCATCCCACTTTAATACAAGCTCCCGAGAGAGCAACCATCTAAACTGAAAGAATCTGTTCACAGGAAAATAAAAAGTCCCAACATTCTAGCATCTTCAATTTCAGTCATGCAATTGTTAGACACTGCATTATTCATCGAGTCCAATGACTAGCTTCTCACAGCTGCCTGTCTCCTATTATTTCTTACACTGTTTCTCAACCATCTTAAGATCCTCCATTCTATCACTCTTACATATCTTATGAGTTTATTCATTGCTTGGCATTATGCACTATATAGCAATATCGACACTGCAGGCCCCTAATAAATTCTCCCTTTGATTCAATCACACAACAGATTTCAAGCACTTCAGCACTTCATCCACATTGGTGTAATTGGATGTACAACATCCTCTACTATCACATATAAATAATTGATAATAAAACAAATGAAAATACTTTTTTTTGGCTGTCTCCTAGCTATCAGCTTTCACTATTCCCTCTCCCTCCCTTCAGTATTACCAAGTTATGTTTTACATATATTGTTACATGCTTATTAAGTATCCCTCAATTGTTGTGACTGCACAAAACCCATGTACTATTTGACCAATTACATCAGTTAAGTTACATCATCAGTGAATAACACATCGAAGGAACTCTTTCAGAATAAGCCACTGAGGTTCATCATAATCAACTGATTCAATCCATAAACAAAATACACTATATTTCCTCACTAACAAGTTCCTGTATTAAAATCCCAACCATCAGGAGAACCAAAAAAAAAAACTGTATTGCTCAACAATACAACACACTAAATAGATCCTATGATTTCTCCAAAACCAAAACCAATTTACCAAACCTCAAACTCTATTGGGCATTGGACAGCCAAAACAAACCAATCTATTTAGCAAGCTTATCCAACTTTAGTCTATTGTAAAATCATATGTGACTATCATGCCATATCCGGACATTCAATCTGCTACTCTGAAGGAGTATCAAGCCTTCTTTTTTCCAAGCAATATTTTAATCCAACCTGGCCATGCCATTACCACCTGATCTAAGGCCCAGGTTGGGGATCTAAATGATAGTTTCACTACAGCAAGAATTGAATAACCTTACAGTAAGCAATGAAACTTTAATAACTCAACCTTGTAACTAAAGCAAACATATAATGCAAAACATAAAAAACATGCTTCATAAACTAAGGCCGAGGACCCCCAAACAATATCAAGTTGTCTTATATTAACAAATATGGAAACCCAAACTACTGTTCATGAGTTTAGCAATTTGAAATTAAATGTTGAAAATGTACGGTCCTAATTCTGCTGCTCCTACAGGTACAGGAAAGTGTGTGTATGGATAGGTTTGGTCCAAGTTACAACTGACCTTGGTCAGTTAGGTTGGCCAGTTGGTATAATTATTTTGCATAAGATTTGGCCCATTCATTCAAAAATTCTACCATCACCATAGTGCAAAATGGCAAAGAACCATTATATGAGATAAATTATATGTAGAAATGTCTGAATAAGACATAGTCACAAACAATGATCTTGAGTGTTGAGACAAGTTAATTAAATTATAAAATTCATACGATTTTGTATAAAAATTAAAATATATAAACAGGGTCAATTCTTGGGTTGGGTTGGTAATTTTGGGAATTCTAGGACCCATAGCCAAACAAACACAACCCATGAAGACTTGGTTGGTTCAGTTCACGAGTTACCAGGTCCTTTTGCGCACCCCTAGGCACAGGGAGGTTAGGGGGGCTTCATCTTCTTTACTTTTTTTATTTTTCAATCCTTATAAAAATGTTCTCATCTTCATTGACTTTTATAGTTGTCTCTTTACAGAGGCGAGGCAGAGGGAGTTCTTTTCCAGCTTTTCATTTATTTTTTCCATGATTAAATACGTTAAGCAACCGAAAAATGGAACTTTTACCAATTTTTTCCCATATTGTGTGTAACAATGGGTTTCCAAACTCACCCTGATTCAACAACCGATAACTATGAGGAAGTACAGGTGTAAATGGACCGAGTTTGTGACGCTCTGCAAGTAACTCAGATAGATACCTGTCAAAAATACAAGCAAATAAATAATAACATTATAACAATAATGTAAATATCTCCTGATATAAGAATAAAAATCAATTGTTCCTAATAAATGAAAGAAAATAGCGGTCAGTTTGCCAAATCAACTTGGTTGCTTGCATTGCCACTTAAGCAGTTCATTAATCTTCTCAACCTAAAATACCAACTGGACAACCAAAACATCTCTTGCACAAAAAAAAAAAAAAACAGTTCTGAATAACCCTGGAGCAGGTATGAGTATGAGTTAAGTAACAAAACAAAATCAAATTTCTTGATGTTTAAGTGCCTCGATGTTTGGTGCAACTTTTACGGAGCTGGAAGTTGATAATTATAAAGAAAAAACTAAAAGCACCTATTTCCTAGCTTCCAAGTAATCAAAAAAAATTCAGCTAATTTAAGCAACTTCTGCTTTTATAATCTATAAAAGCAGAAGCTCTGGAAACAGGAAAATTACAAATCAGGTATACTTTTCAAAAATAATTACTTACACGTGAAAAAGTTAACAATTTTAATAATTAAATTTTATAAACTTTACCATTACTTTTTACAAATATATATATATATATATATATAAAATCATTAAAAAAAAAAAATCAAACTCTGCACTGATTCGTTATTTCACCAAATAAAATTAACCCCTAAACAGGCCCATAGTCATTAATTCACTTCACCAATAAGTCTTTCTGGTTGACCAACTACAAGATTTTAACCCCTCAATCCATCCCACCCTTTTCAGATGCTATATTACAGTTTTTACTTCTGCATCATTGGGCCATTTGATTAAATAATTTGAACTACCATTTAACATAAACAAAATTTAAAAAATAACTATCTAACAAAAAATTATAAACACAACCCTAAAACCCAATCTTCAGATCCATACCAGATGGGAAAAATAATAATAATAATTCACATAATTTTACAAAACAAATGCAATGGCGATTATAATTTTTATTTATCACGCATATTAAAAAAGGTGAAAGCAAGCGAGCTACGAGTGATCAGATCAGTCAAAACACATATGCATATACCACAGTCAATAACTATTCCTCAAACCCTACTTACTGATCAGACCAATCGATTCATGAAAAAACAGTGAATTTTAGTAAGATCTATGTATAGATATTGTATATGCATGGTAGAGAAAGAAATAAAAGCGTGAAGCGTACTTCTGTTGCTCGCGAAGAGCGCCGCCGAGGTGAGGAGAGGGAGGGGCGGAGGGAGAGGGTGAGTAGGCCATGTACCTGCCGGAAGACATGGTTTCCGGCGAGATCGGCGTCAGATCGCGGCCAGATTCACCACCGACCGAACGCTCTCTCTCTGTCTCTGGCGTCGGTGGAATGAAAGCTCGCTCGTATCTATTGAATGTCTGTGTTTATATGTATGTACACACCATTGCCACTGCTGTAATATCACTATTTACTACAGGTATTCTCGGATTATTTTATCGGGGAAAATGAAATGAGGTGTTATTATTAATTACGTGGTAGTGGGTCTTATCTATACTCTATATATATTTATATTATTATTATATATATAAGTAAATGTAGTGATCTCTTAAAAAATTTAAAACTCTCAATCCTAACATCTCATGAATCTCTTTCCTACGTGACACATTCATTCTTCTCTCATTTTTCTTATCTTTTTTTATATTTTTTATTTCACTTTTTAATTACTTATGGCATTGATATAAAAGATTTTCAAAATATTTAAAAATAGAAGATGAGTTTGACTCTAATTCAAATTTCTTCATCAAAACTCTCAATCCTAACATCTCATGAACCTCTTTCCTACGTGGCACATCCATTCTTCTCTTATTCTATTTTTCTATTTTTTCTTATCTTTTTTTATATTTTTTATTTCACTTTTTAATTACTTATGGCATGGATATAAAAGATTTTCAAAATATTTAAAGAAAAAAGATTTTCAAAATATTTAAAAATAAAAGATGAGTTTGACTCTAATTCAAATCTCTTCATCAATTTATGTCTTACCTAAGGATATTTGAAATAAATAAATTTATAAATCTCAAAACCTAACTTCTATGATAATATGAAATTAAGCAAAAAGATTGGAGAACAAAAATAACGTTCTAAAGAAATTAAACGGGTGATTTAACCAATTATGCAAGATTTTTAGCATCTTATGTGAAAATTCAAATTTCCTCTTAATTATTCATTGGGAAAAGCCTCAGACCCCCACGGGGGGTGACCCCTAGGGCCTCCATTGGGGTGTGATTGGTACAATTTTTTTTTTTTTTTTTTTTGGTGCAATGATAGGGATACAAAGAATTCTAACAACTTGTCTATCAAACACTCACATAATGAGTGTAGATCCCACACCCGTGTGAGTGTTTTAGTAAAAATTTTGGAGTCTCTAATATTATCTTTTTTGGGGTGAGTTAATTAAGGAATTTGAGGTTAAATTTTATAAAAATATTGAAAAGTTAGTTATTATTAGTAAATAGAACAACTATGGAAGAAGATAAGTCGAGATAGAAGACACGTATTTAAAAAAATGTTATATATAATTATATTTTTTACATCTTTTTCTCACTCATAAACACAAGTGAGAGAGTCTCAGTGTATTAATTAACGCGGGCCCTTTCTTTTGTGTGTAGGAGTGAGAAAATAACTTTCTAATTGAGATATATAACATTACTCATTTGTGAAAAGAGGAAGAAGAATCATTGTGAGGGATAGTCAAATCAAAGAAGAACAATTTTATGATAACGAAGCAATCATATTTTGTTCATGGAGAGAAGTAACATTTTTTTTAATTTATACACTAAAGAAAGATAACTATATTTATCCAAATTACAAAGATATGGCCAACTAATGGAAAACCCTAATTTGTTGTAGTATATACTAGAGGAATCATTGTGAGAGATAGTCAAATCTTTATCGAGCTACAATTTGAGTAATAGATGCATTATCAACAGACCAAATTTCTTGTCTCGATGCACATACTTTTTCTTCATCTTGATCTCTTCTTGTAGAAAAAGCAGGCCATTTAGGAATGTCTATGGATGTAGTTTCATTTTTGAGCATTGATGAGAGTTCCAACATAGACGGTCTATCTACTGGATTTTCTTGGACACATAACAAAGCTATTTGCATGCATCTCATCAACTTACATGAAGAATACAAATCGTTAAGTGAGGGATCCATAAACTCCATGCCTTTACCATCTTTCCATAACTCAAATGCCTGAAATAAAATAATTAAAATCATCCATTTTTATAGTTCACTTTGAGAAATTCAATTTGCAGTATCCATGTATGCAATTTCAGGATAACTTACATATTCTAGAAGATTTAAGTTTTCATGGAGGCCATGTAAACAATTATTCCGCTTTCCACTTATGATTTGTAAAAGTAAAACTCCAAAGCTATAAACATCGGATTTTGTGGAGTATATGCCTTGTTTTACATATTCGGGAGGAGCATAACCACTGCATTGCACGAGTGAGCATTAAAGATATATTAGCTCTAACAATTCATCATGATTGATATGGTTTTGAGAAATATTTCACTTACTAGGTTCCAACAATCCGACCAGTGTTTGCTTCAAGTTCATCCTTTTGGAAAATCCTTGCCATTCCAAAATCTGCAATCTTGGCCTTCATCTCATTGTCTAACAAAATGTTACTCGCTTTCAAATCCCTATGAATTATTGTTAACCGTGAGTATTCTTGGAGGTATAATAACCCTTGAGTTATTCCTTCAATGATTTGAACTCGTTTTTCCCAATCTAGAAGTGTGCACCTAATTGGATCTACAAGAAATTGTTGAGTTAAAATTAATTAAAATAAGCAACACAAAGTATTAAACAATGTTATAATGTCAAAACCTACAAAAGAGCATACTTCATTCATTACTTTCAAATTTGGTAGGTGTTTGGAACCACAAGAAAGTCCAGTAGAGCCATCCCACTACTAGTACACGCCTAGTGTTAGAACTACACTCTATAACTATTCTTACTTGTTGTTAGAGGGAATAAATATACTAACCATAGATGTAGTAATCCAAACTTTTGTTAGGCATGTACTCATAGATGAGCATTTGTTCTTCTTTTTCAGTGCAAAATCCCAAAACTTTTAAAAGATTTACATGTTGCAGTTCCGCAGTAAGCATAACCTCGTTCTTAAACTCTTCAAATCCTTGTGTTGAAGTCTTCGAAAGTCTCTTTACTGCAATTTCTTGTTCATTCTGTAAGGTACCCTGAAAAAGAAAACACTATTAATTGGTAATTTTGACCACACATAAGACACTATATCTAGCTGTATGTCAAATTTTCTATATATATGTTCAATTTCTTTCATACCCCACGTTATATACAAAGTTGCTTGCTAATTAAGGATAATAATCACGCAAACTGAGTCATATATATGGAACCTTAGTCATTTCAACCAATTTTTTTTTTTATCAGCAAAAGAAAATTTATTCATAAAAATCAAATGTACAAAATACAAAGATGAACATCAATAAAGGGAGGCGAGTGCCAAAGCATCAAAGCAAACTAGACGATTCCAACTAGGTTGGGACCGGAAAGCAAGCCAATCATCTACTAGCACTACACCATGGCTGGAGAGAAACCAACCGAACAAACAAAAAGCAAAGGAAATAAAAACCACCCCCAACACCCAAAAGTCATTTCAACCATATTATACAATATCATTCAAATCCTAGTCTATATTACCTTGTAAACAGGTCCATATCCACCCTCTCCGAGCTTATTTTCAAATGAAAAATTATTAGTAGCCAATACAAATAGCTATTTAATGAAAATTCAAATAAAAGATAACAAAATATTTAAATAAAAAAAAAAGAATAAGATTGGGATATAAATATCTCAAAAAGATAATAATTTTTTTAACGATCTATATTTATCTTTTGTTAGTTTGTTATAGAATTTCTATATCTTTCAACTTAATCTTTTTAAAGTTTATCTTTAAGTGGAACTTAATATTTTATCTTTTAAAATCATCAATTACTCATCCATACAAATTTTAAACATGATAGAATTCCATATATATCTTTTGTTTAAGTATAATCTTTTCAATATAAAAATAAGTTCCTGCAAAATAAACCATGAACAGAAAATTAGGAGGTAAAACAATCAATATTAAGCCATTTCTGATCCCTTTTCGGTGCCTAAAATTTTTAAATATTTGCTTTTACATTTGAAATGTGTACTTGCATGAGTTTTTGCATTTGTAAGAAAGTGAGTTCATATAAATGAATTTTTTTTTAAAAAAAAAAATTTGTTACAATCTGTATTTTTCCTTATTTCTTTCTTTTTGTTAATAATGTCTCATTTAATTGAGATTTTATTCTTTTTTTATATTTATAAAAGCACTGCTATTATCAATTTGTAACTCTCTCTCTTATTGATTATTTGTGTTTAATTTTTTTTTCCCGGTGTAGATGTTAGATTGAAAATGAAGAACACATCAAAATTTATTGGATATGAGTTATACTTTAAATGTATTCATCAGTTGATTTTTTATTGTTGATTATCCTGTTGAAGTAATTCATAATTAAATTTATTTTTAGTAACTTATTTCCTTTGAGAACTAAACCACAAATTTCTTCTTTTTAAAATTTTATTTATTTATATATTTGGATTCAGAGTTTGAGCAAATGGACGATATCTCATATTTAAAATGTTAATTTTTTTTGAATAATTTAAATATTTATGTTCTTTAAGTTTGTCAATTCAAGTTTAACGCATTTTGAAACATTTTTATTTTTTTATTTTTTTTATAATCATTCCAAACCTATTTGTGTTTAATGAATCAATATAACGAAAAAACAAATAGCATGTAAAAAAATTTTAACCACTAACTGAATATAATGGGAATTAAAATTAATTTTATTTTAATTTATTATATTATATGAGATGATTAATGTAATATCTACTATTGATTAAGCAAAATTAGTGTTACTTTTATTTAATATATTAGTCATTTTGATTAATTATAATATGCCTTTGTTAATCTACTTTTGATTGTCTGAAGTAATTCTTAGATAAATTAGTTATTATATGTGTGATGATTTACTAATGTATGATAGTTTTTTAAAATTTTGAATAATGTGAAATATTAAATATTTTTAATGATGTGAAGTAAGATTTATATACACAAACCAAATAAAAATATTAAGAAATATAAACAAATAGCAAAATTTTTTTATAGTAATTAATGACTTTCTAAAATCCTGTTCATCGCACGAGTGACCACTAGTTTATTATACAGTATTGTTGTGTCTTGTTTTTTTTTTTTTTTTAAAAAAAGTGAATGTCACATCATTAGTAGTTGCTTTAAAATATATTACTTTTAGTGGTCTCTATCGTTGTTCATTTTATCAGTGATACTGCATACACTCATTAATATATACATTAATATATTAATTAGTATCATGTTATTATTATTAACCTTATTTATTATACAAATTATAAATATTTAAAATTTCTAAAATTATGTCAAATCATTGATTAGTATATTAGTTAATACATTAATTAATATATATATATATAGTATTATTCTTATTTTTTTTTATTTATTTGCATATATATATATAGTATTATTCTTATTTTATTTATTTATTTGCTAATTTAGGCTATGCTTATAAATTTTAACAAAAAAAGCTCACTACAAGTGTCAAATTATTATCCTTGGGTGTAGCACAAATGATTAAGAGGGTTCTCAAGTTATTGTTAACATAACATTTGGAATGGATTTGATTCTTTCTCAATGTGTAAGTCCAGACTTAATGGAAGTTTATATTAAGAGATTGATGTAAACTCTTAAATTATAGTTTCTCATTCGAAACGAACAACAGGACACTTTCGTAATCCCGACACGAGTGTTATCTTTGACCTGCAGGTGGATATGAGGATTTTTCTATTAAAAAAAAAATGTCAAATTATTTTCTTAATTTTTTTATACGTCTTTTTTATTAAAAAAAATTATTAAAAAAATTAATTATCAAAGCAAGTCCTTATTTTCTTATGATTAAGACAGTTTTAGATTTATTTCCAAATCTATTCGATAGTTGAGCTCCTAAATCTATTCGATAGTTAAGTTCAAGGTTAAACCTTTTCGGCCATAAAGATAATAACAATGTGAAATATCATATTATTTATATCTCTTCAAATGTTAATTATATGTCAATGTATTGTCCATTTATTTACTTATTTGTTTACTTTCTGATCAGCGAATCTGCTTATTTGTTTAAATCATCACCATCACCATCACCATCACCGAATAGCTTTGGTGTACAATGGCATCAACTTTTGTCGACAACGGTGGTGTGTGAGGGTGTACTAACACAAGAGTGAAAATGAAACAAAAATATATTCAAAACAATAATTTATTATTTCTACCAAAACTTTTTATTATCATATATTTACCAACAAAATAAATTAATCTTTGAACCTAAAGTCACATGTAACTATGGAAATTAATTTTTCACTAATTTTATATATAATTAATCTTATACTTAAAGATCACTTTTTTCCTTTTCTTCTTTTTAAGGATAAATTAAAAATACATCTTATAATATTTATTTTAATACTAATTGTTTAATGTGATTCTAAAAATTACATATAAAAACGTGATTACACATTTAATATATTTTTGAGAAATCAACTTTATTATATCATAGATTAATTTAATATATAAAAACACATCAATGTTGTTATCAACATATATATTTTATGAGTGATTTTGTGATTGATTTTTTATTTTACTAACTTATTCAAAACATATTACCATAAAAATTATCATTATTTATGCACAATTCATACAAGTGTAATTTCTTATACTATAGTTGGATGAAATGGAATAATTTCCCATGTGGAGCACTTCTCATTCTTTTGCTAGGCATGTTGGTCCTCCAACAACGGCTGCTAAAAGGAATCATTATTTGGTTTGGGGGCTCAACAGTCATGAGTTGTCAATTTGTCAGGGGCATGTCTTGCATGTCTTCTTAAATTATTTTATTTAATATTTTACATTAATTTAGTTTTGAGCATGATAAATACGAAATGGTAATGACTTATTATTGTGTATATTAATAGAATAATTTTGAACTAATAGTTGCTCATTAAAAAAAATGCATATAATTGATGTTGCTTTACCTATGAATGCAACAGGTTGTTGAGATGTTATTTTAAGATATTCAAGATATAATAACTATACAACATATCTGGTTTTTTATCAAAATTTTACACCAAATCATCTAGTATTTGTGCTTGTAGGCCTATAAAAGATTATTTTAATAATTTAATCGGTTTAATACAGAGAGTAGGTATAATATGTAAATAATAAAATTAATTCAATATCGTTAATTGGATATTAATCTATAATTGCATGAACAAATGGATGATTTGTTTTTTAAATCATACTGATTGGACATTAAAAAAAAAGAAAAAGTGATTTAATTAGGTATTCGCCAATGTTTGTTCAAATTTTCTTATTTAGTTTTGGAATATTATTAAATAAATTTAACCTTTTTAATAAATTTTTGAATTTAGGTCATTAACAAAATCCAATTAATTTATTACTAGTATTTTAATAATTTTTTTAATTAAATCCTTAATACATATTGGTTATTATTTGATTTTATATCTTACTGTAACTAAATAGTATAAAAAATTGAAATAATAGTATATGGTGCACTAGATCAAACCGCGTTAGAATTTCTCAACTTAAATTTATTTTAAAAAAAATAAAACGAGCTCAAAAAATTTAGAAAAACTTACGTGTAGATTTTAATAAGTGAACTTATTGTCTAATAGGTTGTATGATAATTAGTTGTATTTTTTATCAAATGCTATTTAAAAAAAGTCAATAATTGTTAATTTTCAGCAACAGTTTAAAACTTTTCTCACAAAAAATATCACTAATTATAAGTTTTAGTAACAGTTTAAATCACAAAAAACTGTCAATAATTTTGAACTTTCAACGACAATTTGAATATTCATCACAAAAAATATCACTAATAAAAAGAGATAATTACCTAAAAATCCTATCAACATGTTTGGTAGTAGCTTAGGTTCTATCAAAAACTTTTTGAACAAATAAGTCTCATTTGCAGGTAAAATGACGTGTTTGCCCTTTAACATAAACAACTGTATATAAAATAGCATTGACGTTATTTACTAGAAAGAAAAAACCAATTAGTTAGCAGATCAATTATGGAACTAGATGAAGATTCGAATCGTGAACGATCTTGAATGATTTATTGGTTTGGTTCGCTATTATACATAATTGATTTCTCGGTTTTGATTCGAATGGCAAAGGATCTTTAAGGATTTCTTAGTTTGGTTTGCTTTTTGAGTTGAAATCTGTTGGAGTTTGTTATGTGCAATTTCGATTTATAAATTGAAGAATTGATTTGCTGGATATTTGATCTTCGATCTGGTTTATAGGTATGTATTGTTTCAATTTTGTATATTATGTGTTTTTAGAATTTTATTTAGTTTTGATTGAATTTATTTATGAGAATATGTTGAATAATTTCGTTTTTACAAATTGAAGAAGTGATTTATTGGATGATTTCTCAGTTTGGTTAGGTATTTTATGAATTGAAAAAGTGATTTGTGAAAACTAAAAAAGTTCTTAGTATTGTTATGAAGTATTTGTTCTGGTTTTTATTGATTCGATCTTTTTTTCTTGTTTAGATTGAAAGATGAGTGAAGGTTGTACGAATGCGCCTATTTTTTTGTTGTGCAAGTATGATGGTTGCACATTTGCAATTAAGATTGATCAAAATGTTACACATGATCAATTAGTTGATAAGCTATGTTTGAAATGGGATAGTTTGCAATCTGACAATATTTGTCTATCTTCCTTATTGCCTGGACATCCTAGTTGTACGTTGGACAACAATAAGGAGTTAGATTTGTTGTTGGCATTAGTTGTGCATTTTGATTCAATGTGTATTGATGTTGTTGTAAGAGTAAAACACTCAACCATTGACTGTGGTTATCTCAACAAAAGATTGGATTATGGAGAAAGAAAGTTAATGTTGGATCTTGAAGTTTGTGATATTGCACTGTCTCATGGCAACAATAAGTTTGTGAACTTGTCAAATAAAGCATCTACATCCTTCAAAAGGAATTCGAGGTTGGAGGTTGAAGAAGAGGTTGATATGTGATCATCATTTTGTCAACACAAGGAAAAAGTACTATTGTCTGCTAGTTGGGCAGTTAGTATTACACATGTAGGACATAAATTTGAAGGTGGAATTGTTGAATTTCGTAATGCATTATCGAAGTTTTTCTATTGAGTGTGGATTTAAGTTCATATTTGTTAAGAATTATATAGTTCGTGTTACCGCACAATGTTTGTTTAGAGAGACAAAAGGTTGAATGTGGAATGTTCATGGTAGAGTGGAGAATGTTAATGGATTCTTTTATATAAGGAAGCTGAACAATGTCCACACATGTGGTGCTAAAGTACGTACGATGAATCATTCTCGTATGAGTTCTGATTTAGTTGTTGATTTGATTGTTGAAGGTGTTCGTGATAATCCATTGACACGTCCAGTTCATGTTGTTCGGGATTTTAAGTTGTGGTATGAGCTGAGAGTTAGTCATTCACTACAAAAAAAAAAAACATTTGGTGACTAAATTTTTAGTCGCCAAAAGTCGGGTTTTGAGTTTTCCCGACTAAATTTTTTAGTCGCTGGCTTGGTCACTGGAAAACTGTAGCGAAAGGTATTGGCGACTAACAAACTTTTGGTCGCCAAAAACCAAGTATGTAGCGACTAAATTTTTCGTCGCCAAAGCTCATTTATATTTTTTAAATTATACATTTGGCGACTAAAACCAATAGTGAATTATTTTTTTTTAATTTATACATTTGCCAACTATTTTTTTCGTCGCCAATACTGAAGCTTTTGGCGACCACCCGTTTTAGTCACCAAAAGGTTATTTCAGAAAAAAAAATAATAATTAATCTTCTGCTCTTCCCAAGTTTTGAACCACCAACCTTCCACTTTCTAACCCTTTAGCAACACACTCTCTCCACTATGCCACAATAACACCACATGAATATATATGCAAAATATATTATTTATATACTATATTGACCCGTATTAATATTAAACTATATATATAAACATAATTATTTTTATTCAATATAATTTATGTAAAAAATAAATTATTTATTAAAAAAAAAGAAGTCACTTTTGGCGACTAAATTTTTTTTTAGTCGCCAAAAACCTTAGTTTTGGCTACTACCCAATAATTTAGTCACAAAAAAATTAATTTCCGCCTAAAAATAACCACTTTCGGCGACTAAACTGATTTTTAGTCGCCAAAACCACCACTTTTGCCGACTAAACTCAATTTTAGTTGCCAATTGTCCACTTTTAGCTACTCAATTTTTTTTAGTAGCCAAAAACCTTTACTTTTGGCTACAATATTTTTTTTTGTCGGTAAAACACCTACAATCGGCGACCAAACCATTTTTTAGTCGCCAAAACCTATACCTTTGGCTACTAATTTTTTTTAGTCGCCAAAAACCTTCACTTTTGGCTTCTAAAATTGTTTTAGTCGCTAAAACCCATGTAATCAGCGACTAATCTGATTTTTAGTCGCCTATAAGTATACATTTGGCTACTAAACTGTTTTAGTCGCAACAAGTCTTCACTTTTGGCTACTAATTCAATTTTAGTCGCCAATTGTCCTACTTTCAGCGACGAAATTTACATTTTTTGTCGCCAAAATTGCTTTTTTTGTAGTGATTGTCAAGCTTGGTTGGGGGTAGAGAAAGCAAAATATGAGATTTTTTGGAGACTACTTAATGTCATTTGACCAGTTAAGATGGTATGTGGATGTTACAAAGAGTTGCAATCCAAGGAATTACATTGAGTTTGAGTGTGACGATGATACTAAACGGTTTAAGAGATTATTTGTTACTTTTCATGGTTCCATTAGTGGACTTAATTATTGTCGATCTCTCTTATTCCTTGATGACACATTTTTTAAGGGAAGATTTAGAGGAAATTTACTTGCTGCTACAGGAAAATATGGAATCAAGGTACACAAGAAATCTGTTTTCTCTGTTCTAAAATTGAGAAAGTTCTCAATTTAGAAATATGATTAAATGTTTTAAATTTTATATAATATTGTTGTTGTATATGCATTTTTTATTTTTTCAGTTATTGATTTTAGTGTTTGATATTTGAATATTAAAGTGTTACCATTTTCTAAGAATAATAGAATATTCTCATTTTTTATGTTTTGTAC